TAAGGGGCACGCTGAGCTATCAGCTTATTTTTCAGAAGCGATGGCCACAAATGATTGCTCAACGAAGTGGCTTATCGTATAAAAGAAACAATATCTATTTTTAATTTTACAAGGTAAGGGGCACGCTGAGCTATCATATTATTTTTCAGAAGCGACCTGGCCACAAATGATCGCTCAACGAAGTGGCTTGTCGTAAACTTGGAAATTTATGGCACAGATGAAGGGAACAATGCCCACCAGTGCACAGAACGCACAACAGGACTCTGGCCCAACAGCAACAAAGCCAAACGTTTTTTGTTATTGCACGAGCAGCCATGTCACTTTGTTTTTCTTATTCTGGCAAACTGCTGAATTTGTATGTTATGATCTACATTCACAAAAATAAAATATAACTGCATCGCGAATCCGTGACTCAAGTGACAGATGACCAAATCGCGATATGGCCTATGTGCTTATTAATTTAGTCCCTTAAAATACAGCTGCTAATTGTTAATAATCCATGGGCCAGAGCAGAAATTGGTCACACAACTTGAGTCGTACCAATGTATTTATATATTTATAGATCCAGGTCTGAATATGTATTGCACAATATTGACAGCAACATTCTAAAAACGTGTTTAACGTATCAAAAATAAGGATTTGCTTGGTTGCGGAGAATTCCGAGGCCACTACCGGATTATTCGACCATACTTCACCACACTGGTCAGTGCAGATTGGTGAAGGGAGTGGAGGCTGGAGGAACAGGACTGGTGGTTCAGACAACCGTGGCAGGGAATCGAACTCAGGTTACACAGTTCATAGCGCAGTGTACAAATCACTGCACCACTCTTTCACAAGAGCCTGGCATAATAATAATAAAAAAAACATATAACGCGTCAGATATGATCTTTAAATATTTGACAGTAGATTTACGTATAACACAGCAGAAAAAAAATAATCCCCTTGCCGAAACCCGGGATTGAACCAGGGACCTTTAGATCTTCAGTCTAACGCTCTCCCAACTGAGCTATTTCGGCTTGCGAGTGACACCACACAGGATCCCACTTAGACCACTTTAACAAAAGAGTCTTTAACAGAGCATTTAAGATAATTTACAGAAACTAAGGGCCACCTAAGCCACCATCACATCCGTGGGTGCGTTATATACAACTGCTGACGCCCTTTAAATGGGGGAAGAGAATGAGAGAGCGCGTGTAGTATTTGTCAGAGAGGAGCCATTTGGAGAACCCTGCCATCATTGACCAATCTAGCAGAGAGTGCTGGAAAAAACGACGGGATGCTGTGATCACAGCATGCAGGCTGCACTTAGGAACCACAGGTGGTGTCCACTGCACGACCGATTTCATTATCCGAAACAGTAGTTTCCCCAATTACCTCCATCACACCCATCATCATCCTATATACACGCTTCCCTTTGTTATTTAACGTCAGGTGAGTGCAGTGCGCGTTGACTGGACGAGAAGAATCAACAATCTGGCGAAGCTGCACACCCATTAAGGGAGCTGCAATTGTGCGAGGCTTAATCGACTGCTGTGTACACGCAAACACGAATAAAGGTTTCCCTCGCTTTAGACCGGTTCAATCCGGTTAGAACCGGTTTAAGCTGGTCTAAACCTGGTTTGAACAGGTTCCAACAGGATTAAAACCGATTTGAACCAGTTCAGAACCGGATTAAACCGGTATTAAGGTCAGCACTACGTACGAAGGGGTATTTAATTCCGGATAGTCATTGTCTCACGAAATGGGGGAAGAGGTTCAACTAAAAAGAGAAGCATTATTAAACTCATAAAAAATAATAAATATTGTACATTTGCATCTAACACTGTAAAAAAATACAATCAACGTGACTTTACCGAAAAAACTAAGAATATGAATTACTGCAGTCACGAAAGCTTTAAATCAAAATACAATCAAATAAAACAAATAATCATTTTTATTTTTACATGAGTCCTGATGTTGGCTTGGTTGACGGAAGCTGCGGGATGAATAACCACAATTACACACACACCTAGGGTACACGCAGACACACACCCAACAACAACAACTATCTCCCACATCGCCCAACAACAACAACGATCTCCCATATCGCCTTGGCAAGCTTTTCGAGCAGCGCCTTTGAAAACCGGCACGGCACACGAGGGGGTGAGTGGCCAGCGCCACGCCCGACTGCCTTTGTCTCCCCAGTGGCGATGTTTATATACGGCACCATGTGCTAATTTGAGGCTGAGTCGACCTAGGGGAGGCCCATGACCGGTTCAGATAATCGTCACTGTGGTCATAATAAAGGTTTTTGGGTTAGATCGCGTTATTTATAAATGTGTCGTAACCCTCCACCACCCGACACGGCCAATCAGCAAAAAAAAGTGTCAAGTTGACAAAAGACAAATAATTCACTACTTTAGCCCACCAGTGTGTTGAAGAGTGAATCCACAACATTTACAGTTTGAGTACGACGTTTCGCTGGTAAATACATCCAGCATCATCGGGCAATTCGTCAGAACGACACATTTATGAATAACGCGATCTAACCCAAAAAAACCTTTATTATGAATAATATTGGTCGCGAAAGCCTACGTGTTAAACGTCACTGTGGTGTTGGTCGATGAGCGGGAATCGAACCCGGGTCGCCGGGTTCATAGCACCGCGCACTAACCACTGCACAACCACTCCACCCACAAACAACTCCACGTGTGCGCACACGCACAACAAACACTCCCAGCGTGAGAGTGACCCATTGCATCTCACGGAGGACGGCTCCACTGAATGAAATAGTTCAAATAGTTCAGTTTGCAAGTGGGAATTCGCGTTTTGTGTTAATGACGCTGGTTCATAAGTGCGAGTGGTTGCAAATTGGGCCGAATGTTTTTAAGTCGAGGACTGTCTGTACAACAATGGATGTTGCTGTACTGCCCCCTGCTGATCTGGTTTGAACCAAACTTAATCGGTTCAATCTAGCTCAATCCGGTTAGAGCCGGCTTACCCTAGCTAGAGTCGGTTTAATCCGGTTACAACCAGTTTAAACCAGTTAGAACCGGTTTGAACTATATTTTATCTGGTTAGCACCGGTTTAATCAGGTTAGAACCGGTTTAATTAGGTCAGAACCGGTTTGAACTGGTATAATTCAGTTATGTCGAAGCCAGCCAGTCTAGCCGTCGCATCCAATCAGATTAACAAATACCGTGTTGTATTGTGCTATGCTCCCCAATCCACAAGCAGTGAATTTACAAAAAGGGCTGTACACAACAACATGTTTGAGTGTGGTACAAGTAGTGTACTTTAGGCTTTGGTATCTCGTTAGACAATATTATTGGCGGTGTGGTCGAGGTTTAACGATGCTATGCTCGTGAGGACATCCTCCATGGAGATGGAGCGATGAAAGCATCTCGTGTGCGGGAGCGAGATGGATTGTTTCCTCGCGTTGACGAAGTGATTGTAACGGCTTCGGGAAAGTTGGCTTCATTGGCTGGTGATAATTATAATTGTAAAATACTCTTTTGGGCCTTTCGGTAAAGTCACGTAGATAGAAAAAAACATCAAATAAAATCACGACGTTTCGATAGCAACACAAGCAATCGTCTTCAGGTGAAAAAATACTGCGGGCGGACTGCTGAGGCAGGAATAACTATAGCAAAGATTTTGAATTCCTGCAGTCACGAAAGCTTTAAGTCAAGGTATAATTGTAAATGTTCTATAACCGAAGCTAGCTGCAGTGAGTACACGGATATAAGCTGAGAGAATGATTACCATCCAAGCACGGGAGGGGTGGACAGGGACGTGATGCGAAGTTCTGTCTTGCCAGACCTATGCTCCAATTTGAACGTTGCATTTGCTTGAGATTGTTGTATCAGGGACATTTGGGATAAGGGATACAATCCGACCCCATGTGACATTCAATGAACGTGTTTGTGATTTTTGGGGCTCATTCAATTTTATTTTACTGACCCATCAGCTCCTGTGTCTCGTAGTTACCTCTTGAGTAATGCTGCGTTTAATGTAGTCTATATTTTACAGGGAAAGGTACTTTAAAAAAAATATAATATACCGTACAGTACTCTTTCTACTTTTAAATTAAGCGAGTTGGCTTCGACCCCACCCCCCCTGTCCACAAATATGTAACAGCCTTTTATTAATCCACTGCTGGATGATGGCCTTGGAGGGTTGTTTGACCACACACCACTTACACGCTGATCAGTGCGTGATGGCGACATATGGAGCCATATGGAGCCGAGAGAGACCAGTTCAGATATAATTTGCCCCACATGTTTATTGTTACGGGAATCTAACTCAGGGATTGCCTAACAAGCTCGATGTGAATTCCTATACCGGAACTAAATGTATCGACACAGATTAGAAAGGTGCATAACTATAGAAGCCGAATACAATAATGCTGCTTTTAAAGGCCCCCTGTATGTGGCATATGTTAAGAGCAGTAAACCTCTTAAAACCTGGCATATTTTCACTTCAATGTGAATTCCATTTTGGCTTGTCAGTCTATAATGGAGTCTACCTTGTTTAATGTTCAGCTACAATGCACTTACATCATAACTGCAGCAGCCTGTGTGATGGATGCTTGCCCAAAAGGTGGGATTCATTTTCCTAAGTCTACACGGGGAATAGAAAAATAAATAAACCACACACACGCAAAACAAAGAAAAAGATGCCCCGTGTAGCCTGAACAGATTGCTGGGGCAAGTGCTGTTAGCGAGCACCTGTGAAGGCCGACACGGCACACGATGGGGTGGGTGGCCAGCACCACGCCCGGCCGACTTTGTCTCCCCCAGTGGCGATGTTTACACACCGCACCAAGTACTCATTTGAGGCTGAGTCGACCTAGGGGCGGCCCAGGACCGGTTCAGATAATCGTCACCGGTGTTGGCCGTGAGCGGTAATTGAACCCGGGTGGCCAGGTTCGTAACGCAGCGTAGCGCAAACCGCTGCACCACCGCTCCCCATCACACACAGACCCCCCACACACACAACCCCTCCCCACCACAAAGTCCCACAAAATGGGGTGGTGGTGGTGGTGATGTATAAACAGTAATAGGATTTGTTTAGGAGGCAGAAACTGGAGAGAACTGGTGGTCAGTGGTCTGTCCCTCCGTGTGGCTCTCGACACAGCTGCTTGGGACGGGTTGTTGGATGAGACTAAGTTGCTGGGGGACAAGGCATCAATCTGTTGCTGCTGCGTTGTTCACAATTGTTGCACCCATCGGTTGAGTGAACCATCGTCTCCGAAGCAAGTGAGGGTAAGTTCTGACCAAACACACTGCCTTGCACTTCTCTTCACATGCAGCAGCAGCAGCAACAGCAGCAATGTATCAGCGTCAAGCTTTATAAATAGTGTAGGTAACATTTGTGACTTTAATTAAGACTTTTATTCTTTTTCTTCGTCTTATTCTTCGCGGAATTTCGCATTAAATTTAGGTTTGCTTTGCTGGTCGTCGCTCTTAGACGTCAGCCATACTTAGACATTTCTCACCGTATCATAATCATCTATCTCTACTTGGGTTTACCTTTCAACCCGCCTCCCTCTCGAACTTCCTGTTATTTATTACCTTGCCAATGTGAATCCATCTCTTATCTCCGCACGTTCAATCCATCAAAGATGATTCTTGATCAATGGAATACTGTACTGTGCATATATATTTACAGTATCTTGCGATTGGAAGCATAATTGTACCTAAAATTGGAAAGGTTTATAAAATTGTAATTAACATTGTCATTTTGTCATATTGCCCGTGGTTTCAAATCCAAGTCTATTTAGTGTGGTAGTCAACTTCTCGCCGATGTCTGTTGTCAAATACATGTTGGTGACATCATGGTGCATCTATATGTTGATCAAGACCTGCTTGAGTACACTATTATTGTCTGTCAGTGGCATCTCAGTGCCACCCTCAAGGGTATTCCAATTGCAAGAAATAATGGGAACAAACTTGGTCTGAGTCCATAAGCCCATGGGATTTCTATGAGTTTATCATCAGTTCCAGAAATGGTTTAAAATCCATCTCTTAAAAAACAATAGTTGCCTGATTGTGTTGGTCTGAAAAGCCAATAAGCTGATGGAAATATTCGTTTTTAGTGTGTAGAGAAATTATGTCTTGTTGTATATTTTATAAACAATAATACTCCAAGCAATTAATAATGTAGTTTTTTTTTTACATTTAGGGTTTAAATGTATATCAGGGCTGTGTCTGTTGGTCTGCCTGTGCTATAGTTGTGCAACATTATAGCATTACACATGGGGAACATAATGCTCCTCTGTATGATAACATTCTGACTTCTTGATAACAGCCTGGTGGTATGAGTTTGCGCTTTTGTACATTATCTTGGATGATGCTGCATGTTGAGTGTTTAATATCATGTTCCTGGGTTGTAGTTCATTGGCATTGGCCGTTATCCAGTTCCTGGTGGGTGGGATGATTTCCTCCCATCGCCATGCAGATGTGATTCGCTTACTCCTACGTAGTGTTAGTCTCTTTTTGATTACTACACAATGAACTTACGTAACTCATGGCTAATGACCAATTCATCCTATTAGGCCCCAGCCGCATCGGATTTAGAAAGTTGAACAGGCTTGAGCCTGGTTAGTTTTCGACAGGAAGATTCCGTTTTAATGTGTAGTCGGCTTGATTTGCGAGGTGGCCATGTGATGGCAGTGCTGCCAAGGAGTGAATCCATCTGTGCGGAGCTTTGTGTGCCATCTGCGAACTCCGTTTTTTTGTTTCCCCCCACAAGACAAACATAACGGAATGGGCCAAACATCGCAATGAAGGTCCGCTTGTGAGACTATCCTGGAAGAAGAGCATTATTATTGATACTCGAAATGCAAATCTACAAATGATCGCTTGTCAAGCGTTGAGTATTGTGTGAAATGTCAACCCGCCGTGCTATATTCACCGCACTGGGTACAGCAGTACAAGTGTATATATATTTATTTCCAAAACCAATTAGCATGACAGTATTAATTAACATTAAGGCAGGTTTTCAAAAGTATTTTTAGATGATGGCACGTGGAAGTTACACATCGTATTTTAGTGCTATACACGTGCAGTAAATTATTTAATCAAGAGGAAGATGAGAGTAGGTTGAAGTGCTTTGGAAAAACTGAACTGAACAAAAGCAACACACCAATGTGACTAAAGAGAGCTATTTTGACCAGTTGTGTGTTGACACGTGGATCAGAAAAAAAGGACACTGACGAAGAATAGTTACCAAACGCTAAAACATGTGCACAAATAAGCATAGGGTGGCAGTGTGCTTGTAATTATACGGATAGACCGAAACAGGAGCACGTGGACTTGGGAACATAGGAAGTCAGACACAGCGTTTTGGCTCTTCGGAAAAGTAAGTGGGTTTTAGGCAGGAGGGCTGATGGCCGGAGGTCGAAACTAATCGTGGAGTAGAATCCAAAGGAGGGGACACATCAGAGGCTTCCGCCACGCTGGAGATGGAATGATGAAATCAGCTTATCTGCAGGTTGGCAGATGGATTGTTACATCGCAGGGACTGACTGTGTTGTTGCTCTGGAGAGCGGGAGATCTACGATCGACGTTCGGTCGCCGCGTTGATGGGACTCGTCGCGACTTCTCACTCAGCAGAGTTGGGCCGCGTGAAGGCTGCCATAGTCCACTCCGTCAGCACGTATCACACAGGACTGTGATAGGTGGCGACGGCCTGGGAAAGAGACCCTCATCCAGCAGTGGATCGATCGTCGTTGATGATAATGATGCTTACGGCAATTGCCAGTGCACGGTACTGTAGTTGAGTGCCAGTTGAGCTCAGATTTATGGAAGCATCAATAATAAGGCAGTGCAGTCGAACACTTCGAACGCACTCTCACAGACGGAAGTTATACAAAAAGGTTAAGGTTAATGCTCACTGGCCAGGTGGAAAAAAAACCTAATTTGATTAGCCACGCATGCATACAGCAAAACTACAAGTCAGCTGATGCTCGCTGGGTCGCGTCAGTGAGGCAGGGGATTTGATGCACAGATTGTTGGCAGCATGACTCTTCTTCTTTGGTTCTTTCGGTAAAGCCACGTAGAACGAGAATAAAGTAATAAAATAATAAAATAACACGATAAAATTCTCACGACGTTTCGGCCACAACACAAGTGGCCTTCTTCAGGTGAAAGGAACAAACCTGTCGGGACGACAGAGCTTCAATGTGCGGCCCCTCGACCATACACAAATAGTGAAAACGCCACAATGCAGGCGGTGTGTGGCAGCCCTCACACTGGTGATGTCTTATCGGCGAAAATGCCCCTGCCCCCCCCTCCGTGAAAATTCGTGAAAATCACTGCTCTAGAAGAGGCACTCTAGAGCTCGCCCTCGAGGAGGCCCTTCCACCAGCCGTGGCGTGAGCAAGGACATTGCAGGGTCCGCACCTTTACATTTTGTTACAGAAAAGCGTCTGCGCTCAGCTTTACCTGCTGTGAAAAATGCGGCACGGCTGAATCCGATCGCTCCGCTGCAAGTGGTGTCGGACTTGCGCGTGTCGCGTTAACAACGTTCATTGAAGCTCTGTCGTCCCAAAAGGTTTGTTCCTTTCACCTGAAGAGGGCCACTTGTGTTGTGGCCGAAACGTCGTGAGAATTTTATCGTGTTGTTTTATTGCATTATTTTATTGCTTTATTCTCATTCTACGTGGTGACTTTACCGAAAGAACCAAAGAAGATGAATCCTTGCAGTCACGGAAGCTTTAAATCGAAAAGCATGACTCTTGCTAAAGTGAGCTGCTGCTCTGCCCAAACACTGGTACAGACCATACGTTAACGCCAATTGCGTTTACACATCAAACACACGTACAAAAAAAAGTAAAGCAGGCATCGGTACGTTGCTTTATTAAAAGCAGTTAACGCGACACGCGCAAGTCCGACACCACTTGCAGCGGAGCGATCGGATTCAGCCGTGCCGCATTTTTCACAGCAGGTAAAGCTGAGCGCAGACGCTTTTCTGTAACAAAATGTAAAGGTGCGGCCCTGCAATGTCCTTGCTCACGCCACGGCTGGTGGAAGGGCCTCCTCGAGGGCGAGCTATAGAGTGCTTCTTCTAGAGCAGTGATTTTCACGAATTTTCACGGGTGGGGAGCAGGGGCATTTTCGCCGATAAGACATCACCAGTGTGAGGGCTGCCACACCGCCTGCATTGTGGCGTTTTCACTATTTGTGTATGGTCGAGTGTGGGGGGGGGGGGGGGGCCCGTCAGGGGCCGCACTAAAGACCATCAGGGGCCGCCAGTGACTCGTGGGGCCTTGAGATGAAGAACAGTGGCCTAGACTCTAGAGCAGGGCTCCCCCAACCCCCGGGCCGCGGACCGGTACCGGCCCGTGGCCTGTTAGGAACCAGGCCGAACAGCCAGAAGATGAGCGGTGAGTCCGCGCGTGGGCCCCTCATTATTTTATTTACCACTTGCGCACTTGTCTCAGTCGCAGTGTTGGTAAGCCCACAAGCTAACCCTTAGCCCAAAATGAGTAAAAAACAAACGTCTCTGGAGAGCTTCTTTGAAAAGGGGGAAAGACCCAATGATGAACCCCCCCCCCTCCCCCCCTGGTCCGTGAAAAAATTGTCTTCCACGAAACCGGTCCCTGCTGCCAAAAAGGTTGGGGACCGTTGCTCTAGACTCTAGAGGGTATTTGGCGTACTTCTACCAAGCCGGCCAAATGTCTTGGAAGCGGTATGAGTACCCATATTTTACCCAGTGCCGGATTCTCCTAGTAGCAAAAGTAGCTACAAATGCTACGGGCCCCGCACTTTCAAGGGCCCCGTGCTAAATGCTATCAATTTCGGTTCAGTGATGCTGCACTTGCTCTATTACTATAGTACTATACTGCATTCAACTTTTACCAACGACTGGGTGTTTAAGGTTAGCGATTTGCCGTATTATCTGCCTGCATAGCAAATGAAAAAATACAATTACAGTACTTTACTATTGCAAGTTAAAAATGTGTGTTTTAATATTCTGTGTTTTTTTAAAAATTTATTTAGGGCCCCTTTATAACATATGCTACGGGCCCCGCGCTAGCTTAATCCGACACTGATTTTTACCCCACCAACAAGCGACCTGTTCACAGACTCACGGGGATGTTACCCATCCATACTGCTAGGTCGATGGAGGTGGGTGTGGGGGTGGGTGGGTGGGATTTTAGGATAAACCCGCACCATTGCTTCAACTGCCAGGCCAGGAGAAGGAATCAAAGTGACGACATTGCAAGTCTCGTGCGCTCGTGGCCGCGTGCCCACTCTTT